CAAAAGCTAGTGATTGATTATTGTTAAAATCGTTTGAATGTTGCTAATTTGTGTTAAATTTCTAGCTCAAATACTAATTTAGTGATTTGCTTTAAAAATGTCAAAACTCTATTATTGGTCATTATAAAGTGTTAAAGAAAATAAAGTGGATCTCTTCGTTTGATATTATTTGGCTAAATTGGGGATTGAGTATCGTTGGTGTTTGGGGGCTTTGCTTCAAATTTGAGATTATTTGGAGTAAATTTGGGGTTGTTTGATCGAAATTCAAATAACACTTTGTTGAACAACACACAAAACAATTATGCTAGTCGAGTAGCCTTTGATAAATAATTTAACATATAGGTCGACTGCAGATAACCCAATTACGCCAATCTGGTAGGATTTGGTAAATAATTGAACAATCACAAAATTATGCTAATCTGATAGAGTTTATGAACAATTTAACAAATAGGTTGAATGCAGTTAACACAAAGTTATATAAATATGGTAAGTTTGGTAACAATTGAATAATAACAATGTCATGTCAATTGGGTAGAGTTTATGAACAATTAACAATATATGTAGAGTAATATAGCATCAAATCTATAAATTTGGTAGAAAATCCCAATCAAGCAATAAGTGTGGTTTCGAAGGTCATTTTCTAAATACATTAAAAAAAGGCTAATATAAAAGACCAAACCCTTATAGGACATTCTTGTCAGTTACCAATCAAATCATAGGACCTCATATTTATTGAAAGTTCTAGTCATCTACTCTATCCGTTCACTTTTACTTGTTCACTTTGAACTTTTCACGCCTCTTAAAAAATAATAATTGTAGAATATATTTTATCATATAACCCATAATAATGATAGCATTTCAGAAAGTTTTGGGAAATAATTTTAGAAATGAGTAATTAATGATAAGGGTAAAACAAGAAAATTTTTTATCTTTATCTTGATTCGCTAAAATGGACAAGTAAAAGTAAAAATATATTTTTAGTATAACAGATAAGTAAAAGTAAACAAAGGGAGTACATAATATGATAAAAATGACACTAAATAATTACTTTTTGGTCCACTTTTTAATATTTAGTAACCGTTTGAATTGTGATCAATATATTTTTTAAATCTGAAGACAATAACAACAACAAACTCAGTGAAATTCTATAAAGTAGGGTCTGGGGAGGGTAGAGTGTATGCAGATTTTACCCTACCTTACGAAGATAGAGAGACTTTTTCCGATAGATCCTCGGCTCACGAGGAAAAACAAAACTATAAAGAAAACAGAAACAACAAGTAGTAACCATAGCGAGCAAAGGTCATATAATAGCCGAAGAGAAAGAAATGACATATAGTAAAAGAAATAAGCGAATATGAAGAAATGAAAATACAACACTGACACTAATGACACCGGCATATAAATAAGACACGCCCGCTTACCACTACCATTCTACCTTAATTCTCAACCTCCATATCTTTTCATCAAGGGTCATATTTTCAGTCAGCTGAAACATCGCCATGTCATGCCTAATCACATCTCTCCAATACTTTTTGGGCCTACCTCTACCTCTACCTCTCCTCAACCCACCATAGTCAACCTCTCACACCTCCTCACTAGGACATATATGCACCTCCTCTTCTCATGCCCGTACCATCTCTAGCTTACCTCATCTTGTCCTTCAACATAATATACTAAAACTCTAATTTTTATAAGTGAAACTCCACAAAGTGAAAAACTGGTTAAAGTTTGACTAGTTTTGAAACGAGGGATAAATGTAAATTACCCGTCTAAAAAGTGACTATTTTCTCCAGTTTTTCTACAATTTGTCGAAATCCATGGCAAGCGGGCAAGCCCAAAGATGAAAAATCACCAAGCCCAGCCCATATACACGTGGGCTCTCATCATCAGTAACCCTTTACATAAACCAAACGCTGAGATCTCAGCCATTTCTCTCAAAAACTAGGGTTTACTCTCTCACCAGAGCAGCTTCTCTTCTCCAATGGCGCCCAAGAAATCTCTCCGTAACCCAGAATTAATTCCTGGCCTGGGAAAATTCTCACGTTCTAAAATGTACCACAAGAAAGGTCTCTGGGCAATCAAGAAGAAAAACGGCGGCACATTTCCATCCCACAACAAAAAACCCGCCGCCGCCGCTCCGGCAATAAAACCCCCAAAGTTTTACCCCGCCGATGACGTAGCAAAACCCCTTGTGAACAAACACAAGCCAAAACCTACAAAACTCAGAGCAAGCATTACACCTGGGACTGTGTTGATTATCCTAGCTGGTAGGTTTAAGGGGAAAAGAGTTGTGTTTTTGAAACAACTTGGTTCTGGGCTACTGCTTGTTACTGGACCTTTTAAGATTAATGGCGTTCCTCTTAGACGTGTGAATCAAGCTTATGTTATTGGTACCTCAACTAAGGTTGATGTTTCGGGTGTGAATGTGGAGAAAATTGATGATAAGTATTTCGTTAAGCAGGTTGAGAAGAAGCAGAAGAAGGGAGAAGGGGAGTTTTTTGAAGACAAGAAAGAGGTTTGTCTTCTTTGTTCTTTTTCTGCTTCGATCTGTTTCCATAGTGTATATGCAAATTCAGGTTCATAAATAAATGTGACCTAGTATAGATATATATTTATAAAAATATTTAAATTGTGTGTGCGCGCCTTTGTGTGTATGTGTGTGCGTGTATAGATAAATGTATTGTAGATGTAATTGAAGGTGGATAGAGACTTAGTATAAATATATGATTTTAAGTTATATACATGTACATTGTAATGGATTATTTACATTGTCAGTGTAATTTAACATGTTATATCATGTTACTTGCCATTTATTCGAGGTTATCAATTGATACTACATACTATTAAATAGAGTTACTTGCAATTACTTTTAAGTGATAGTGTATTCGTTTTTTATACTCTGAATATATATTTGCACAAAGTGATGCACCCACAGCTTAGTTATATATACTGTCAAAAAATTTCTAAGTGTGTGTATATGCGGGCATTATATGTACACACACTTGTAAAGGATGTAGGAGAAGAACATTTGAGAGTCGTTTGATTTGTGATTTGTGTATTTGATTGTTGAGTGCAGGAGAAGAATGTGCTTCCACAAGAAAAGAAAGATGAGCAGAAAGCTGTGGACACTGCATTGATCAAGGCCATTGAAGGCGTTCCTGAATTGAAGGCTTATTTGTCCGCGAGGTTCTCACTCAAGGCAGGCATGAAACCACATGAGCTTGTCTTTTAGAGGAACAACATCTACATCACTTTTTTGGATAAATTGATTTTGTTACGCTCTATTTTCTGTTTTGTTCGGTTTGAACCTGCGTTTAGAGGTCATATTGAGAATTTGCTGATTATAAACATCTTTAATTAGAATATATGCATTATGGGAATTTTGTGTTGATCTTGATTATCCTACTTATAGTGACTTGTTAATGTCTGAGCTCAATGATAAACTTTTTTGCTGGGGTTGGAATTATTCTCCATATTGAAGCTACACCTTCATGTACCAAGAAGAGGGTTGAATTGAGTACCCTTCATCTTGACTGCCATGGTGGCCGTAGCTATATGAATATATTTGACTTGAGAAGTTAAGTGGCTGGTTGTTGTAAATCTAATGACATATTTGCTTACCGAACTTTTTACATTTTGCATACCCACTGTGAAAGGGAATTAAAGAAGGGGAGCCTAGGTATAACTGATAAAGTTGCTGCCATGTGACTAGGAGGTCACGGGTTCGAGCCGTGGAAACAGCCTCTTGCAAAAAATGCAGGGTAAGACTGCGTATTTTGTGTAGGCCCTTTTTTATGACCGATCAGCTCTGCATCTCCCAGGATCACTGCTTTGATTCCTAACAATTTGCTTAGTTGCTTCAACAAAAAATTCTTCATTGGGTGGTGGTTATTGAGAAGGTAGTCAGTCAATCTTATGTGATAGCACTAAACTCATTCTCATGTTCTGCAAAAGCTATCTTTTGGCTCTCATGGATTTGAATATATGTTGGATACAGAAGTTATGTTGAGGATGGGTTTTGGCTTTAGTTAAAAGCTGGTTTTAGGATCATTGTCTTACAACATTTGTTGGCATACTGTTCTCTTCCTGGGACCTCAGAAGATGACGATGTTTATTGTGGAAGATAAGGCAAATAGTGAAAGCTTATGTCCATTCCATGGCTCTTAGTTGTGAATATTGAAACAATAGTATAAGGGTGGATGGTATTTTAAGTGACATTATGTAATCCCTCCAAGTACTGCTTGTTACTCTTTAACGAGCTGCTGTTTGTATTCTGGAAATCATTAATTTGGGAGTTGCATCTGGATTTAAGTGGATTTTTCTAGAGTAGAGTTCCACAGATGTTACTGGTAATTGCTGATAAGTAGTGGAAGAAGAATAAGTCAAAACAAATACATTTAATCTTCTAGCTGGCTTGCTGACTGTCCACTCTAACCATCCTTTCATCTATTTTCCATTGAATAGAATAAGAGGTGGACCCATACATGCTTGTTGCGAATGGCCGTATCCTAAGGAGTGTGATGCAGATAGCCTACCCTAATGTTTGCCTGCCCTAATGCAAATATTAGTATAATGCAAATATTAGTGGCTTCGAACCCATGATCTATATCTCACAACAACTTTACCGATGCAAATATTAGTGGCCTCGAATCCATGATCTATATCTCACAACAACTTTACGGATGCTTGTATTGTATGTAACGTGAAGTTTGTTTCCTCTTATAGAAATAAGAGATAAAATCATTGTGTTTGTTGCGTTTTCTCCCAGCTCGATATCTATATGCATCTCAAAACACTACATTTCGAATGATTATTTATCAAAATTTTAAAGAGAGTACAAGAACATACTCCCTCCAATTGGGAGAGTGTTAATTTGACTCAGACGAAGAAATGCATCGGAATATAGATTCTATATCATGCTCTTGAGATAAGAATCTATCCAAGTACGGCGAATTTTGAGAATGAAAGACAGAAAGAGTCAAAAGTGGAACAATGCAATGTGTAAAATCTGAATGGTTTTTGTCGATAGTACTCACAAGAAAACGAAGTTCTACAAAGCTATAAGAGAACTCGCACATAATAAAATCAATAAATACATAACTACAAACCTAAACCCGCTATACTAAACAAGGAAAAAACACTCATTCCCCAAATTAGGAGAAATTCTTTTCATCTCCATTAAACTAGACTTACTAATTGCAGCAAACAAAGAATGGTCTAGTATTTTAACTTGGTGAGTGCACATACAACTACACCCATTTTTTTCTTCTTTGCAAAAATGGGTGCTGACAACTAACTAAAAAAAATTAATACATATATTTCGAGACAGGAAGTAACATATGCGGTATCCCCTCCAACTATATACTGCTCAAACACCAAGTGGCACTGCAGGGCGAAATTGCTACTTTTCTTTATATTCTCATTGAAGAAAAAGAGGAATTACAACATCCAAGAGCGTGGTAGAGGAATTGGTAGACTCATCCATGTATGAAAAGCATGATGGAATCAGCTCGATCAATTGTTGCCACCATGTTTTGGCTTTAGCATCTGCCGAGCACATCTAAACAAAAAATTGCTTCTTTATCAACAGGTTTCATTTAATTTGTTGTGGATTGGGTGATGGAAAAAACAACAAGTTACGGCTTCAAAGCCTTACCTCCCTTTGCCTTCAACATTTTCAATTTCCCATAGAATCTCCGGAGCTTTCCTAGCCACTGTGGCCAGCCACAGAGGAATATGTTTGAATGTAGTTATATTGATCTCTACTATTGCTACAAAGGGTGATGTGATCTCCACCTCTAGTAGCCTAACTATCTACTCAACTATGGCTATTAGATAGAGCAAACTTCATCCATTTAAAGCTGCAGCCAAGTTTCCAACTTTTATACCATTGTTAGAAGCAAAGTTTTCTCTGCAATAGAAAGAAATTGTTGGGATGGACACAAAACCTACTGCTCTTTTCTTAGCCAAACACTTGTAAGAAAAATCAAGATTCTTGTTATCATCATCTAACAAGAACTCATTGATTGTTCTTTTGTAAGAACCAAACCACTTAGCTTGCATATAACTAAGTTGTCTCCAAGGTGGAACATGAATATCCATTTTCTTCATTGATTTCTTTGTAGCTCTACTCATTAGTTTCACCACTTGCTTCAATTCTTCCACTTTTCCAACAAATATTGAAGGGAAAATCTCGAGCAATGAAGTGTAGTAGGGTGTTGGTCTAGCTATTTCGAATTCTCTGGCAAGATAAACTTCGATTATATAGCGATTTTCGTTCATGTTAATGTCAATGTACTCGTAATTTCCAGATGGAAGTTGACCATTTCTCTCCCATTTTGATTTGCACAGATCTATATATGAAGTATGAATTCAAGAAATGGATTAGTCACTTTCCAAGAAAATGCTTTCAAGAAGTAAAGTAGTGAAATAGTTTTAAATAAATGTAGCTACTTATCTAAGTTACTAGCATCAATTGACAATAGTGAAGAGGAATGATTAGGATTAGAAAGATGAAAATGTAGAGTTTTTAAATTTCTTTTTTCACCAAAAAGAAATGGAACAAAAGAAGTCATACCAACAAATTTGAATTAAAATCTAATTGATGTAAAATTAAGTGTAAATGGCAGCCAGCAACCCATATTCACGCAGGGTCCGGAGAAGAGTCGCACCACAAGGGGTGTGATGTAGGCAGCCTAGATGCAAACATCAATGACTGATTTCACGGCTCAAACCCATGACTTGTCACATATAACTTTATCGTCGCTCCAACGCTTCACTTCCATGTAAGAATAAGTGTATGACTTAAAAATCACTATTTAATCTTAGAAAACTCTAATTTACCTCAAAAGATAATGAAATGGAATAAAATGTTCATGTACTAATCAATTCAGTAATTTGTGCTAAAATAATTTTCCTCAATAATTTGTGATTGAGACGTAATTAACTTAGAACTTACCAGCATCAAATCCTCTATTACGCAACCGAGTCATCAACCGCCGTTTGAACTCCACCGTACTCCGATCACCGATTTCAAGCCATGCATTTTCCACGACGGAATGAATATTTCTCTTCACATAATCACTTTCTTCATAACCTAACAATTTCCTTAACTTATCCTTAATCTCTAAATCATCACAACAATTATTGCTTAATCCATTTTCTACTAAATTATCTCTATCATTATCAATAATCTCTTCTTCATTTCTTCCTCCTCTAAAACCATTTCCTCTTTCAATAAACGAATTTACAAGACCGTACAAATCTGTCACGCTCTCAACCGACGAGTGCTCGCTACCACTGCTTTCGCAAAATCTCGCCTTTGCCACCTCATCAAATGCCGCTGCTACCCTCTTAAACCTCATTTTTATGCACGGACAGAAAGAGTTTAATTTTTATGCACCGACAGTAAAATAATCATGTTAAAATGACGAGAAATGTCCCTTTTTGTGATTTCTTGATGTTCAGGGAGAATAAGCTATTGACAATTTATAGAGTTTTGCTTGATATGTAGATGAAGAAATTAACTACGTTGCTGCGAACATATATATATATAGTAAATACTATTTACATAGAGATAGGTATAAAGACATCATTGGTGATTTGGTTCTATGTGATTTTGCATGGTTTCAGTATTTTGGCTTGAAGGGCATGACCTAATGTATCTGGACATAATTTATCGACTGGTTCATTTTGTTTAGCTTTGTTGTCCTATTAAGTGATAAGTCATGACACCCCTTTCAAAAATTAATAATTAAAGAAATAACTTATCAATCGGATAATCACTTAAATGTCCTAATAATATAGATTATCTGTCTCCCAATAGAATTATACAAATATATTACTTTTTTGAGAGTCAAATCATGTTATATTATTCAACCATAGAAAGTTGTGGCTCTAATATATTATCATATTTTTTATGTGGCAATGTTCTAATTAAGTATGTTATCTTTTTCCTAAAGAATAAATTAAAATTGATATTTGAGTTCATACGTATTTTCAATTCTCGACCATTTTTTCTTCAAATTGGGGTCTTTCTATACAAGCACCGTGGGCATTGTTTATTTAAGTTTTCACAATTCCAAATTCCAAAATGAAGAAAATTTATCCGCACTCTATTTTTAATCTAAACTATTATAATTTATCATATATAGTTAAATGATAAAATTGGGGTAAAAATATGTATTAATTAACTATGATTAAGTAAGAACAGTGTAAGTAAATTAAACCTGTCAAGTATCATTCCATTATAGGTTTAAAAGTTTTTTTTTTACTCGAAAACAAACTCAAGTTACTTGAGAAACTCACCTGGTGAGTAATAAATTAATATACCATAGTTGAGTAATAAAATAAACTTTATTCAAATGACAAATAGTTTGCATTAATAGGCTTGCCGTGAACATAATACCAAATTCTTTGCAATGTATTCAAAATAATTTAAAATTGAATGAAACTATCGTTCAGAAATTGAGAGAAGGAAATGTCAAAAAGAAAAGAAAAGAAAAGAAAAAAACCATGATAAACTACTCAGGGAAGTGGCGATTGGAAGACGTAAATCTTGCAAGATTAGCCATCTTTTCCTATATTATTCTTCTTCTTCTTCTTCTAGGGTATTAAATGGATGGGCAAGTTCAATAAATTTAGAATTCCGTCCAGATACATTGAATCTCAATTTCTTACCACAGTTATGCTACTCTTTTCACTAATCATTTGGTTTAAATACGGGATAATCAAGAAAGATTGTTGATTTGAATTATGTTTTAAAGATCTTAATAGACCACTGTGCTTGTCGACAATAATAAAAACAACAATAAACCGAGTAAGTTCCCACAAATGAGGTCTAGGGAGAGTAGTGTGAATGTAGGCCTTGCCCCTACTCTGAAAGGGCTTGTCCTGAATGCTAAGAAAAAAAGAAGAAAAAAAAGCGCATTTTAAAAAAAATAAAAATCTAGCCTTGGACTTCAAACATGGGCTGAGGCAGAAGCCGAGTTACGGGTTCGACCCAACCCAATAGATTTTGTTCAAATAGTGTATTTTGTGTTAAATTTTTTATTAAATATGTATAAATATTAAATTTAAAACTCAATCGTTAGGACTTGAAGTCGTCGTTCCAAAATTCCGACCCCATAAACTTAAAATACTAGGTCCAGCTCTGACTTCAAAAGCTTTTGCTCCAAGAATGCACCATTTAGTTGCTAGAGGCCAGATAACTACATTACTGCAATTATCGGAGACGTTCATTTAATAATTAGGTTGGCAAACCATTGTAAGCTTATTTAAATTAGTAATTTGACTCAGAAAAAGACTACTACTATGTTTCACTCAAGGTTGTTTCTCTAATTTATCAATATTCGTTCATTCTTTCTTGCTAACGAGTTGAGGGCCTTTGATGATATGAATTCAATGCGAAGAATAGTATTCTGCCCAAGATGCTCTTAACGTGAGAGCTTTGTCTATTATATATAATGTTATATAGAGTACAATGTATCAAGTCAATAAGGACTCTACCTAGAGTACAAGGTTATGTAAACAAGGACTCTTTAGAATACAAAGTGTAAGACTAAAAAAATTCTACCTATGCTATATGCACTAATACACCCCCTCAATCTAAACAGGCAGAAGAAACGGACAGATTGTCCCGAAGAAAACAAAAGCGAGATGAAGACAGTGCCTTTGTAAAGATATCTGCTAACTGTAAATGTGTCGGAACATATTGAACTATAAGAACTCCTTGTGCAACCTTATCACACACAAAATGAAAATCAACAACAATGTGTTTCGAGCGATCATGAAAAACTAGATTACGGGTCATCTAAGTTGAACTGATATTGTCACACAATACACGAATTGGTTCATGAAAAAAGATACCAAGCTCACAAAGACTGTGACGAATCCAACAAGTTTCAGCAACAATGTATGCAATAGCTCGGTACTGATCAGCCTCTGCAGACGATTTTGAAACTGTTGATTGCTTCTTTGCACGCCAAGAGATAAGATTAGATCCTAGGAACACAGTAAAACCTGAAGTAGAACGATGACTATCAAGACAACCAGTCCAATCAGCATCCGAGTAGGCAATAACCATGAAAAAGTCAAACTATAAGTCAGAGTACCCTGCAAGTACCTGAAAATTCGCTTGACACAATGTATGTGAGTGGTACGGGGAGCATGCATAAATTGAGAGACAACATTTACAGCATAGGCAATATCTCGATGAGTCATAGTCAAATATTTAAGAGCACCAACTATGCTCCTGCATTCACTAGGATCTGAAAGTAACTCACCGTCCATCAGAAAAATAGAAGTGCGAGAAGCAAGGGCAGTACGAACTGGTTTGCATGTGTGCATATGAAATTTAAGTAACAAATCAGAAATGTACTTTTGCTGAGACAGGTGAAGACCGTGAGATGTACGAACTGCTTGAATACTAAGAAAATAATGGAGATTGCCTAAGTCCTTCATAGCAAACTGATGAGATAGACGAGAAATGAATTGATCAAGAAGACCATTATGATTACCTGTAAGAATGATATCATCGACATAGAGTAATAGAATAAGGACATGAGAAGAATAGCGATAAATAAATATCGAACTATCAGATTTGCTGCAAGCAAAACCATGAGAAATAAGAAATGCACTGAAGCGATGAAACCAACCCCGATGAGCTTGTTTCAAGCCATAGACGGCTTTGGTTAGCTTGCAAACATGATTAGGATAGTCGGGGTGAATAAAACCTGGAGGCTGCTTCATGTAGACCTCCTTAGTAAGAACCCCGTGCAAAAATATATTTTTAACATCTATCTGACGAATTTGCCAAGAAAAAGAGACAACAAGGGAAAGAACAATTCTCACAGTTGTCGCACGAACAACATGGCTAAATGTTTCATGATAATCGATGCTAGGCTTTTGATGAAAATCTTGTGCTACAAGGCGAGCCTTGTATTGCTCAATGGACCCATCTAAATTATATTTTATGTGATGTACCCATTTGCAACCGACTAAGTTCATGTTAGGGGTAAAAGGAACAAGGATCCAAGTATTATTCTCCAAAAGGGCATTAAATTCATCTGCCATTGCTTGTTGCCACTTTGAATTTTTCACAGCTTGAGAAAAGTAAGAAGGTTCATGTTCATGGATATTAGCACTCAAAGAAAATTGTTTCTTTGGCTTAGAAATACAAGACTTAGATCGAGTTTGCATGGGAAGGGGTAGATGATGAAGTTGGAAAATTAGTAATAGGTAATGAGGTAGACAAAGATGGTGAAAAACCTACAGGTAATGACTCACTAAGGCTAGGTACGGGTGGAATAGACTCTACAGGAGAGATCTGATAACTTGTGGAATCTATAGTTCTAGAGGATAAATGTTGATACACCATCTCTTTGGGGTCCATCTTTGATAGGAATTGACTACTAGCATTGGTCAAGCTTCTTTTGAGGCAAAAGTGCTTCTTTTATCAAAAGTATTTTTTTTTTTAAATTAAGGTGTTTGGCCATGCTTTTGAAAAGAAAAAAAATACTTATAAGGAGAAGCAAAACAGTTTTTGATAAGCAGAAAAAGTAATTTTTCTCCAAAAGTATTTTTTTAAAAAGCACTTTTGAGAAAAATACACTTAGAATCACCTTTTAAAAGCTTGGTCAAATACTAATTGATACTCAAAAGTACTTTTCAAACTAAGTAGCCAAACTTAATATGTTTTTCACCAAAAGTACTTTTTTTTAAAAAAGTACTTTTGAGAAAATCACTTCTCAAAATAAGCTGATTTTAGAAATTTAGCCAATTAAATTCCGATAAATTAGAGTCTCAATTCATAGATGCATCACATTGACAATTGAATACATCTCAGCTCAAAATATTAGTAATAATTAAGATCGACTCTGTCAATACTTTTATACCCACAGATGAAATCCCAAATTATTTATGCTTATATTTTGTGACATCCTGTTGATCAACCAGAGAAAAAGATAACCAAAGGATTTTGGTACCAAGTGTCACATATTTTATTATCGGGACATATATAATCCTAACAGTTAGAAAAAGAAGAGTTCAGATCTTCAAGTATCACTAACTACATAATTCTGAAATAAATGGAGTCACATCCCTACATTTAAAAGCTATACAATTGTATAACTATAACCATATAAAATACAAGCCATCATATCAATTAATTAGGGATGATACATTTCAATCAGTAGAAGAGTAAAGTTTGCACTTCTTTTGAGACAAAAAAAATATAATTTCGAAATAGATGTAAGTCAGACTCCTAGAAATCAACAAATAGTTTTTGCGCAACTACACCATAATGATAGATTGATACTACTTAAGCTAACTATTCCTATTGCACTTCTTGGTAAAAAAAAAATAAAATTTCACGAACCCGCGAGCGTATTTCTCTGCGTTTGTGGAGAAGTTTGCTAGCTGAGATGAATGGTGGTAGCAAAAAAGTGGGGCGTACTACACCAGAGGCGGATTTAGGGGTGGGAGGGGGTTTGCCCGAACCCCCTTCTGTTGAATTTGACATG